TGCAAGCCATGGGAGACGACATAGCCTCTGCAATTGGGTGTTGGAGTTTATGGCTTGGGTAACTTCCTACCCCACTTCACCTTTCCGGCATGCTTTGTGTTTGAAAGGTTCGGTTTTGGGAGTTGAGGGTATGGGTCAAGAGTTCTTTTGAGAGTTCAGGGCTTGCTTTTTGCTTCAAACATGCTTCCGCGAAAGCTCGCGATGGTGTGCGCGAAAGGAACTTTGGATTCCCGCGAAGGGGTCATTTCGTTATGAAGTAATTTTGGGCAACGCCCATATATATACATGTATGTGTACATTCATATATATATATACATACCTACATGTATGCTGAATACATAGAAGTGCATGTATGCACAAAAACATATACACATGTGCAGATCTGGGTGCATATATGTGTGCGTTTGTAGTTGCCCAAGCTCTTAAAAATGGATCCTGAGGCCTAAAACCCAAATCCTGACCTAGAAGTTATATATCCCCTTAAGTAGATAGACCATGGCATTGGGTATACGATAATAAAGATCCCCAGATACCCTATATTCTATCTACTTCAAGGGGACTATAAACCCTAAAACCCTAAAGCCTAAACCCTAGATAGTAGTTTCCATTTTCTTTTCCATTATCCCTATATAACCCCTATAATCCCTTAAGGGGGACTATAAACTATTCAAGGGGACTATAGCTGAGATTGAATGAGACAGGAAGACTTGGCCAAGGGTGCCCAGCTTCAGCTGCGAGGCCAGGCCGTCCCCCCAAGTGATGTTTTCAGGGTTTCTAGAGAATCTGGGATTAGGGTTTAGGCTTTAGGGTTTAGGGACACCTGAATTGAGGAATATACTGTAAATGAGCCATAGTCTAAACTCCTTAAAGGGGGATTATATAGGGGTTATATAGGAGTACTATAGGGGGAGGATACTAGGAGTTCAGACTGTAGCTCAAAACTTTGGAAGCCTATGGTAGATTCCGTATGCTTCCTGTATTCCAACAACTGAGGAGCTTTCCCCTGTAATCGAAAACCGCAAACCCCAAAGCCCTAGCCTAGTAAAACAAACAACAAAATACATTTCTTCGATCTGTACGTATTGTTGACTGGAGTATGGTGACTCCCCAAATGCAGGCCCCAAATGTTCAAGGTGTAGGGTCAAGGGTTTAGTGCTTGCAAATTGTAGAAACCCCTGTCTACGATGTTGAGCCTTCGGGAGCTTTGTCCTGGCATAGTCTGTCGACCGAGAAGCTGCTTTACTTGTTTTTGCTGAGGGACAATTCCTAGCTTCAAGTCTTAAACCCTTTCCAGCTGTTCAAAAGGCCTTGCTTTTTTGGTTGGTCTGGGAGGGGGACGTCGCCCATGAGAACATCTGTTTGTTTTGGCCGTGTGCAAGTACGATGTACACACCCTAGTTCCCGCGCATGCTACGCTAAGATCAGCTAAGCAGGTTGACCCTGGTCGCCAAGCCCCAAACCATCAAAAAACAAATGCGAAGACCCACTAAATTATAAATATCATTTTTCCGCATTCCTGCTATAATTATGCTGTAGGGGACCCGAAATAGACTTCAACATGGTATTGCTAATCATCTAGGGCACAGAAACCTTCAATTCTAACCCACTGCAAAAAAGGAATCCTAGCCTTCTCCTGGGTTGCTGTTAAGGAACTTAAATTAAGTTACTAATATTGGGTATATATAGTAAATAATAGGGTTTCCCCAATATTAGTAACTCAATTTAAGTTCCTTAACAGCAACCCAGTCTCTGGGCCTGTCAGCCTGGAGTCGCACGCCTTACGGCCACCTGAGACTCCCAAAAACCCTGTAACTCCAAGCCCTCTCCCAAACCCCATGCATGGATAGTATTTATTGTATTGAGTGAAGCATATGAAGCCCTTGATCTTACCACTTGCATAGACTGCTCTTGGGTGGGGCACTGTAAACCCTTGACCCAACTCTTTCCCCATAACCCTTCATCCCTTAACCCTAGGCCCCAACCTATCCACACCCCCAAAAAGCTGGAACCGTAAACCGTAAAGCTTACGCCCCAACCCCCCAGACGTCAAACCCTAAACCCTAACCCCCACGCCAGGACGCCTGGCCATGCGGAGCTTCGAGCGTCGAATCGTACCGCGCAGCGGCCTCGAGTGTCTGGTGCCGTGGTGGAACACAAGATGGAAACTACTATGGTCTAGGTTCTGGGGTTTAGGGTCCGGGGTCTAGGGTTTAGGGTTTAGGCCGTCTTGCTGCGTGGCTGGAGGCAACATGTAGAAATGACGCCCAGACACACCCAGGGGTGTGGGGGGGCGGCATATCTGGCGACAAGCCAAGAATTGGTGTGTTGGTTCATTCTTCCCACGCCTTGCTTACGCAGGCATCCGATCAACTTTCTTCTTTTCTGGGTTACAGGCTGACGACCTAAATTCCCAAAAGTCTCGAATAAAACAACGGGCTGCAGGCGGGGCCTCCAGAGCCAGCCTCCGAGGACCTCCCAGACCTCCGAGCCTGCTGAGGGCCTTAGAGCCTCCGCGGCCTTTTGTCATGGGGACCCAAAAAGGGAGAACAATTCGACAACCTTTCATGTTTACCCCACAGAACTACATACATCCGCTATAATAAGCCCTGAGCTTGTTACCCTTTGACTCTAAACTTTACAGCTAAACCCTAAGCCCTTAACTTGTTGCCCTCTGACCCAAGCCTGATCCCTGAACAAAAAAAGACTTAATTCCCGGTCATCCTCTGACCCTAAACCCTTAACCCCTTACTACCTTCTGACTTCAAGTGCTAAACCCTGAGCCCTCAACCCTGTGTTACCCTTTGACTCCTGAAATGCCAGGTCTGTGGGCCAAAGCTGCGAACAAAGCTGCAGGAGGCGGCGTGTTGGGTGGGCACGCCTCCGTCCCCTAACCTTGTTTAGGGTTTAGGATCTAGGGCTTAGGGGTGTAGGGTGTAGGTCGTAACTTCCTTCGTGACTTTGTTCCATGTATTTCCTGTGGTGTGTCATTCTCATGCCAATGGTGCTGAGCATTGGTTTGGCGCCCTAGTAATCCGTGTCTTGGCCTGCAAAGCGGTCCTGTGCCTGGCAGCAAGGAGACCTGATGCAAAAAGGGTTTAGGGCTAGTGATTTGTAGAATTCCCCTTATTGGGCAACATGGTTGATATTAGGGGCGTGGGGGGGTGTTAACATTGGTATGAGGGGATTAACGGAAGCAAAAAGAGCCAGCAACATTACAATTCTACGTAGTCTTGGGACCCTAAAGCCTAAATTTGGGGTGTAGGTATTGGAGCTTCGCAGATTGAGGTACTAGGTAGGGATAATTGTGAGGACGGCTGCAAAGGCATCTTTCAAAGGGACAGTGGTTTACAAAAGCCCACTAGGCTACATGCTGTTTTGTTTTTTGGGGGATGAAGTTTCATGAAAGGTCAGCTTTTAGGGATTGTGTCAAGCCAACTGGGCATTGTATGGTAGAAGTGTGTGACACGTGCACTACGCCCCCCCCAACATATTGTTGAAATAGTCTAGCTCTAGGGGGAGGTACCCCGAAGCCGTATTCAACATAGGAAGGGCCATGCCCAGCAACCAGGTGCTGTGTACCAGCTGAAGCACTGAAGCTCTGCCAAGGGTACAAAAATCGAAGGTGCTCTATATGAAGCCCCAAGCCCAAAACTTGCTTTTAGATCCTCATCTCTTTCCCGAAGACCTAAGCCTCAAATTAGTAGCAACCACAATAAAAAAGGAAATGATGGTACCCACTGTAGTACTGTAAAAGTAATAGCATTAGCTCATAATTTAGATAACAGTAACAAAGTAGTGGTTATATGTAAACATATGAAGACCTTGATCTCTAAGTGCGCAAGACGTGGCTTTCTTCGTCTCACCAAATAGGCCACTGTAGTTGATATTTTCAGACATTGTAAAGCTTTAGGAAAGGGACCCCCAGGGTTAGAGAACCCGAAATTCAGTGGTCGCCGTTATTCGAAATGGCTCGAGGTGTAAATTGGCTGTGATCAATAAAGGTTTTTGATGTGAGTCGCTTATGAGCAATGAAATTCCTGAAGTGGTTCTGCTGCAGTCCGGGCAGTTAAATTGGCTTGAAATAATTCTGATGCTTCCGTATTGCTCTTTGTAAGGGAACGGCTGTTGTGCGCAGATACTTGGGATGGTGGGGGGGAAAAGGGGGCGTTGCGGGGGTCCAGGGATCCGGGAGGGTCCGGAGGGGCGCTGAGCCAAATTGCATTGTTGATGGTAGGGGATGAGTGGGCCGCCCACTACTGGAGGCAGGCGGGGGTGGCCAGCGAGTGGACGGGGGGCTTTCAAACGCCTGAGGTAGGACCAGCCGCGATTTGGGGCTTAGGGTTAGTAATACGGGAATACAGCAATTATCTTGCCTTATTCCGTACTAAGCTGAGCACCATTAGGTTAGGGCCCAACGTACGTAGTATTTATGGGTAAATGGAGAATCACATGGAGAAGAAGCCAGAACATCATATGGAGACTAGGCTTCATGGGGTCATGTAGGGACATATAGTATATAGGGGAATGGAAAAGAAATTGCAAATTATCGTTTTATGGGGGATTATATATTATAGGGATACTGCAAGGATCCATGCCTTCAGTCCTTGTTAACCAGGGGTAAGGCAAAAGACTGCTCCTCGCCTGCTTGTTTGCAAGTCCGTACTTGCAAGGCCATGGGTACTTGGTAATCAGGGGCATTTTTCAAACATGGGGATACCTTGCTTTATGTGATTCTCACTATACGTACGTACTACGTCCTCCTGATCCCGCAAGTACCACACAGCAGAGTGGCATCATCTTAGAAAGTTTCTCTGCTTTGCCATGCAGCTGTCTCAGATCGCTGCTTCCCAGGAGGGGGAACTTATCGACTAATGTGGAAGCCTGACAAGCTATTGAGGGTATCGCCTTCAAGCCTCTCATTCTTCTAGGACAATGTGCCCCAAGACTTCGTTCTACGGCTTTGCAGCCGGAGGTCATCGACTTCGAGAAGTCAAAGACTGTTCTGTACGGACAGTGGGGATTCGGAGGAAGAACGGCCTTCAGCGCATTGACTGTTTCAGAACTGAGTATAGTGTTTAAGTTCTAGGGGTTCATTACTGATCTAGGTACCCCCGGTTGGCCCCTTTGCCAGTTTAAAGGATCCTGGGCTCCTCATGAGATTTGCTTGTACTAAAAGGGTTTAGGGGTTTAGGGTTTAGGGGGCCCCTCTTCGATCCCTGCGTTACTGAGGATTCTGAAGACAGCAGGTTGAAGTTTATCAAGACTATACGTCACATCGCGTTAGTATAACGGATCCCCAACCCCCGAGAAAAACATGTTTTGCTGCTTTATGACTTCCTGGTGAGTAGTAGGGAAAAAGGGAATATGCTCCCTGTATGATCCCCATACAATATATTCCCTTAAACTTTAAGCCCTATATGACATACTCCCACATTCCCTACTGACCTCCCGGATGATGATGGTACCATAAGTGCAGGCCTAAACCGTAAACTCTAATTAAGCCCCATTGTTATTCACTGTTCCAGCTAAGTTACAAGGACCTGTCCTGACCTTCGTCCATCTGTTGGCTTAGGATTTAGGGTTGAGGGTGTAGGGGTTGTTTATTTGCGAATACTCCCAATTTGGCAGAATTTCAGGTTCTGATATGCTAAATAAATGGCCACTATGAGGGGTTGCCATTACGGGGGGAAGTGATTGTATGGAGATTGTAGAGGTTCAGTCCAAGCTTTCTTACTGCGGATTGTCTTTGGGCCGCGCCAGAAGGGTCACAGGTCCAGATGCTGCACTTGCATCAGGGTGCATGGGTGGCTTCTGTTTCCAAAAGATGCCCTTGAAGGTGTTTTTTGGTGGCTGGCGGTTGATATTCAGCATGGTTCTGCTCTGATTTGCTGGCTGCTTGGCATGTGGACAACATTGGGAGTATTGGCAAACAAAGATACGAAAGGGGCCAGTATTATGGTTCTAGACTCCTTGTATCAGTATGGTATACCCTAAACCCTAGATGAATTCTAAACTCTCAGCTACAAAGGTGGAGGTCAGCCTGAGATCGGTTCCTGCGTGCTCCTTGGCTTTAGGGTGGGGTGAACAAATTGTGGTTTCTAGAAATACAAGGGATTTGGGAGTAGGGGATGTGGGGTTCTATTGGGTTATATAGAGTTTAGAGTTTCCCAAATTAGGGGTACCTTTCTGGGGGCTAGTATCACAAGGATTATGAGGGTTTAGAGTTGGCATTTGGCCTTTCATTCTAGCATGTAGTAGCAAAAAAACGAATCTTCCAGTCGAGCCAGTTGTGCATTGTGCTTTCGCCAATGGTTCAAACCCTAAATCCTAGACCCTAGATCCAAAACCCCAGGCTCTTGAACCTTAAGCTCTAGGCCCTAAACCCTCAACCAACACTTCATTGGACTCCAAGGAGTAAGCCAACCCTGGGAAGCCAAGAGGACAGGATCCCCCATTCTTGGCAAGTCCAGGTTAATGAGCCCTAAACTCCAAGCTCTAAACCCTAAACCCCTTAACCCCTAAATCCTAAACCCCTGAACCCTAAACCCTAGACCCTAAAGCCTCAACTCCTAAACCCTAAGCCCCTGAAACCTAAACCCTCAACCCCAGAATGAGGACCTTACTAGAGATGCATGATAGTCACAGGGCCGGAATCTGGCGGGTTGGGGCTACCAAAATCTTCTTATTTAGGGAGTTGGCGGTTGTATGTTCTATGTCCCGAGTTATTGGGGTTCCAGCAGCACATATGTTGGCAGATGCATCAACAACCCTGCTAATGCCCTTCATTTCCCGCCTAGCTTGGCTACATTTGCATCGTGACCTAGGGTAGCATTTCAGAAGGTCAGGAAGCCATGAGAACTCCGCCAAGCTCAATGTCCCTGCGGTTTCCGACGTCACTGTCGCAAACACTATGCATAAACATGTTGCCCCGGTTATGAGCATCAAGGGTTGTTGTGTTGAAGAGGACTCTAGCCTCAAGTGCTGTTTCTCCTAACAGCAGAGGCAGACGTGTTCCAAAAAGTCCCTGCAACGTAGCTACTCTATGCCATCTTGCAGGCTTCCATTTTACCATATAGCCTCCCTGCAGGGTAAGCTCTAAAACTTGAATTCTATCTTCTCCAAGCGAAAATGGAGCAAATTGTAGCCACCTTGTTTGGGACTGTGGAGTTTAGGGGATTTTTAGAGTTCCAAGCTAGTGTGGTGAAGGGTACATGCCCTAAACCTTAAAGTTACCCCTACATATCCCTAGATGATCCCTATACAGCACCTTCCAGACTGCACTCTCAACAAACAGGGGTGCCGAATAAGCCCTTTTATCCCTTTGGGGGGTCCTAAGTTCTTCAGTTCTTTATGGACCCTAAACCCTTAACCCTAAACCCTAAAGACGCAGGTTACATGGGATCCTTGCACAGGCTTTTCCCTAAACCTTATAAATCCTCAGCACAGGCTTTTCTATGGGCCTCCCGGCACGGGAAAGTCCCTGGCAGCGCAGGCAATCGGTTCCTCGGCTTTTGGTGTTGATGGGGCTTAGGTTTTAGGATTTAGGGTTGAGGGGATAGGGTTTAGGTTTTAGGGTTTAGGGATGTGATCCTCTTGGGGATATCCAATCAAAAGGAGCCGTATTGTGTAAGGGACCCAGAAGGGGACCATCAGGCGTTGGGGTTTTAAATTCTGAAGGCATAGAGTTCTCAACCCTGATCACCATAGAGAAATCTGGCAGGAAATTAGAAGAGCATTATCGTATGGGAGGAAGACCCCTTGCATGTCCACGGCGCTATTGCTTTGAAGCCAAGACATATGTCGCAGTTCACGTCCCAAAGGATAGCGTGTTCCTGTTTACAGTCTTCACCCAGAACCCTCAGCCCAAACCCTAGGCCCTAGACCCCCAAAACCCTAAACTACACAGGTGATAAGTCGCCTGTCACGCCATCATGAAGTCCAGACCCTTGCCTTCTCAGCCCAAACCCTCCCAAAGGCAAAAAGTGGCCTCCTCAAGCCAGGGATTTGTCATTGAGCAACTTGCAGGTCGTCAGTAGGAAAGGAAGGAATGGAAAAGACAAATGGGCACTGCTACATGCTGTTTTGGACTATGTAGGAGCTAGTCGGGGTTCCACTCCTCGGTTCACTGATGAAAAGAATGGAACTCAGCCCTACAAACCTCATACCCTAAATCAAAGCATTCACCCTCAAGCGCGAAGCCCTAAGCAACACCAGCTATTCGAAGTTCTGAGCCCCAAACACCACTTGGAGGTTTCATGGGTGGTGACAAGTAAAGAATGCTCAATGTACCCCCACCATGAAGTTACAAGTAGCCACAACCATAGTGACCCTCGTCAGAACACCAAGTCTAGCAACCCTTTTACCGCCCAGCAAACACCAACCAGAGCTTGCTGTTAAGCTATTAAACTACGTAAGCTACCCGTATGAGGAAATAGCGTTCAGGGTTTAGGGAAATTGCATTCTTTACAGTGTATCCGTATGGTTGGAACTTCCCCCTGCATATCCCCATATCTTTCCGCGCTCCGCGTTCTCATTCCCCCCCCATGGTATGGCGTAGCCCCAAGAACCATGAACTCTCCATAAAACTCCTGTTTCAAATCCTCTATAAACCCTCATTTCCGGACCCAGACCACAGGACCACAGCGGGGGGTACCTTCAGAAGCTCTCAATAAATCTCTGTGAAACCTTATGAAGCCTCTACGAGCCCTCCAAAAACTCTCTAGACTTTTGTAAGCCATCTATGAAAGCTCTGAACCCCCTGTGAAGCTTGTATAAAAGTCTATAACCTTTGTAATCCCTCTAGAAACACCCTTTTCTCTATAAGACCTGATTGAAACTCTATCAACCCTAAACCCTAAATCCTAAACCTTCATAAACCCGCTACAAACCCCTGCAAACCATTTCTGGAGCCCTTAAAAACCTGCTAAGAAAGTGACGAACTCTCGGCAAACCTTCTTTGAAACTTCTAGAAACATTTTATAAACACTATAAGCCTCTATGAGCCTAATCTAAACCTCTACACTAGTCCAGAGGTTCATCATTATTATTCTATATCCTAGGAGGAGGGCCCCCGTGAATCCAGAGAATTCCCATGAAGTTACCACCCAAAAAGCTGTTGGTCTGAGGTTTCGAAGTGGGCCGTGCGCTGAAGGTCGTCAACGCTGCCAATGTTGTTGACAAGTACGTAGGGGAGACTCGCCTGGCCTCTATTGTGGGTTTATGTTCCAGTGGCAGGGGCTTGAGGCGTCTGCTTCAAAGGCTAAATATGGGGATTAAATAGGGATGGGGAGACTTGTTTGACCTCTATTTGGAGGTTGAGAGAAGGAATCGGGGGCGAGGACATAGGGATGATGTTCAAAGTTGAAGGTGGGTTCAAGGTTTGAGAAGGTACATGGACAGTTGGAAATGGAATCAATGCATCTATTCGGACTATATCTCAAGTTATACTACCTGCGAGTAACCATGACCCTCCATTAATGGTCCTCGAAGCCTCAAGCATGGTGACAGTTGAGAAGCTTTTTCTCAGGCCCAACTTCTATGGCGACAGTGCTATCATGGTTACGGGTGTAACCCTAAGGGTCCAAGCACCCAAATCATAGGGTTTTCGGGCCCAAATATTCGAATAGTAATGGCATTTGGGTCCTGAGTCCTAAGCTCCTATTGTTTGGGTCCTTGGACCCTTAGGGTAGGGTTTAGGGGCTTAGGGCCGAGGTAGGCCTAAAATGTAAACCGTCGTGCAATGGCTTTGCCAACCTCTAGGGTGTAGGGTTTAGGGTTTAGGGTCTCCGGTCAAATCCTTGATGCCCCAACCCATGTCTAATGCTCCTTTTGCAATTGCTACCTAGGGCTGAGGAGTTCAAAGTGTTGATTGCCATGCAGCAGTTTACATATGCACGGTACGTGATTTGGGAGGATTGCTATTTTGGGTTTCCGCGGCCGAGTGGCTGTGAACCTCTTGCGAGGTTGTGTGCCAGTAGAGCCTAGCTACACTTGAGTTTTATGTGCGCCATGTACAGCTCCCTGCCTTCATCTGAGGGGGTGAAGTCTTCGTGGAGGGCGCTAGACCCAACACACATGAGCAAGTGGCAGCTGAGAAAGTGGGCGCGGGAGCGAGCTCGTCAACAGCACCTGGCAGATTTCGTGCAAGAACGCATGACTACACAGGTTAAGAGCCTGGGCTCACCGACTGCGCTAGCCGCCCACGAGAGTCGACCAGTTCTTTGTGATGAAGCAGAGACCGAAGGCACCTTTTGTTCTGCGGCGGGCAACCAGAGGGCAGATGGCGGGCATCACACGGTGTACTTCAGCATGGGGTCGGATTCCGAGAATGACGAGCGCAGGGAGAGTCACGCAGCCGGGGGGGAGTTGAGGGCAGCGCTTTACGACTCCGAAAGCCTTCTCTGGACGTTGCAATCAATCCTTGACCATTTTCGTGAGGACAACCAAGTGGTCGCAGAGGAGCAGGATACTTGCGAGGATGACGCGGCTGCAGCACTGTCACAGCTCATGAATGTCGGAAGCTCTGTGCGAGCGACTTCAAGCTTCGAGCCGCGGGAAGGCATCAGCATCGCTCAAGGCGAGCGGGGGACGGTTCTCAACATACGTGGTGATGGCTCTGCGGCTTTGATTCAGTTCAAATGTTCCGGCTGTGTCAGAGTGCCCGAACAGGCCTGGGGAAGTCTTGAGGTATGCGGAGAACACACGAGTTTCTGCAGCATTGTAAGCTTGCTACCGGAGCTGCATGCGGCAATGAAGTCTTCTCTCCCGATGTAGATCGCTCGATAAGCTGGGGGTGTTGATTGCCATGCAGCAGTTTACATATGCACGGTACGTGATTTGGGAGGATTGCTATTTTGGGTTTCCGTGGCTGAGTGGCTGTGAACCTCTTGCGAGGTTGTGTGCCAGTAGAGCCTAGCTACACTTGAGTTTTATGTGCGCCATGTACAGCTCCCTGCCTTCATCTGAGGGGGTGAAGTCTTCGTGGAGGGCGCTAGACCCAACACACATGAGCAAGTGGCAGCTGAGAAAGTGGGCGCGGGAGCGAGCTCGTCAACAGCACCTGGCAGATTTCGTGCAAGAACGCATGACTACACACAAAGTAAACCCAAAACCCTAAACTCTAAATCCCTATACAACCCCAATATAACCCCTATAACCCCAATACAACCATATATAACCCATATAGAACCCCTTTACAACCCCAATATACTAAGTTCGGCCATGGCCTCCCTCTTAGTTCCTCGAGCCTGAACCTAGGCTAGTCATAGTCATAGCATGCTCGCTTAGAGCCTGGTGGATCTGAGTGAAAGGCTTTCTGAATAGTGTTTAGGGCTTATAGAGTAAGGTTTAGGGTTAAACCATGAACCCTAAACCCTAAACCCTAAATTGTTTAGGGATGGTTGTCATCGCCAAGTGAGCTGAACCACAACATGAACAAGTTGGCTTCGAGCTTCTGCTCATAAGGTGCTCATACTCATAGACCCTTTTGCTCATCACAGAAACCCCCTCGCCTACACATCGCGTAGAGTATAGTACCTTTGTGTGTTAGTTGAATATTGTAGTTAAAGGATGAGGCAAGGATAGTTCACCGCGGGGGAGGGGGGAGGGGGCGAGTTGAGTTATTTCCAAGCAACCCCTGCGCGATACCTTTTAGCACTTGGGCCTCAGGCTTAAGAATGGGGAATCAGATGAGAAATGGAAAATGACATGGAAACTGGGAGTGTACAAGGTCCAGAGCTAGGTAGGAAGGATCCCAAGTTACAATGAAGTAATATCTTAAGTACTTTATAATTATTCCCACAGCGGATAATGCTAGCCTTCCATAGCTCGCCCATGTAGTGTGGCAAGGATTCAGGCTGTCAGGTCGCAGTATGTGGCAGTTGGCAGCTATGCGGTCAGAGCTTTAGATCTAAATGCTTGCCGTGGCTGTTGTGGAAACGAGGAAACGGGCAAGAACATCGAAAAAGTGTTTGCTGAAGCGGCCTGGCAGCAATGTGGCCTGCAGCTTCAGTAGGCCTGGCGCACACCTGGAAAAATTCAAGCCATACCTAGACCCTTAGCCATGCCAAAGCCTAAGCACGCTTAACACAAAAGCTCCTAAAAACTATGTGGAAAAATTGGCCAAGCCTTATCCATCTCCAGCTAAAGAATCCTCAAGCTCGAACCTGCGCAACTCCAAACCCAATCCTACACCTTTCTAGAGCTATGTAATGCGACAACCATCCGGGTGTTTCCTACATTAGGAGTACTTTCTTGGGAGGGTCCCCATAAGAAGGGTTTTAGTATATTAGGTACCCCTATTTATGGGACCTACCATCTATGGCCTTAGGTTTAGAGTCCAGTTTTTTGGATGACGCTCAGTCCCATCGCATCTTCCAGAGGAAGTGGAAGATACATGACAACATGCATGGGGGCTTCCAAAACTTCAGGGTCCTTTCTCGGGAGTTCCCATAACGAGGACCAAACTGTTTGAACGGCAAATATGGGGACGCTCAGTTTTGGAAAGCCGCAATGATTACATTGGGCTCTCCTCGCAGGATCTATACCTCAAATGCCCCATCTAGAATCTCTTGGCCGACTCGGTCTCTTTGTAGTGAAGGAATGTCTCTTACATGATGTCGGCATTTCCGCATGCATTTGATAGAGCATGATGTTTGAATCCACGGTGCGATGCCGGCCAAAGCTGCACTTGCAGCAGACGAATTCTTCTTAGCTGAGAGCAGAAGCTGTGGAACTCTTCCCCCATAGTCTGGGTTCTCGAGAAAAAAATGGCGCATATTAGGATGCAACGGTAGGGGGTTGAAGCAGTAGGACAGGGGTATGACAGTATGATGGGGAGACGTAGCGCTTAGGTACACGGGTCAAGATGTTACCCTTTGGGGGCTCAGGGGTAGGAAGGAATGCTGGAGCAGATTATAATTGTAGGTCTCTCTACCAAAGGGCGGATACTTGCAACTATACTACTAGCATCGCCTAGTAAACCTAGTAGATACAGGAATACTAATACGGCAGCACTACGAATCATAGACAGCACTATCCGAATCCGACAGAGAGCCCAATACCTCTTAATCAAGGAATATACCCTAATTAAATGGTACTACGGCCCCTAAAGTGTTTTAAGCTATATTTTTTTTAAAGGGGTATTGGGCTCCGAACCCTAAACCCCAAACCCTAAACCCTAAACCCTATATCCCTCAATTAAGGGGTATTGGGCTCCCTGGGTCATGCTGAACATGATCACAACATGCTGTTTTGTAGATATAGCCCCCCTTAAGCAGATTGAATATGGCATTGGGTATATTATAATAAGATCCCCACATACCCCATATTCTCTCTACTTAAGGGGGGACTATAAGCCCTAAACCCTAAACCCTAAATAGTAGTTTCCATTTTCTTTTCCATTATCCCTATATAACCCCTAAATTCCCTTAAGGGGACTATACCCTAAACCCTAAACCCATAATAAGATCCAAGTGTACAAGTTGATTTATAGTCGCGATGGAGCATTTTCAAGGTCCGAATGTCTAATAGACCTGGAGTCCTTATGAAAAAAAGACAGCGGTGGGCCATCTGAAGGGCGGCATTCGGAAATTCAACAGCACTGCGAATAAGCACCTTTAATTTCTTGAATTTCTGGGCAGGACATTCACATACCAAAGCTGTAAATTCTAAGCCTTACAGCCTTGAACCTGAGCCCATAAACCCACGCAAAGCGGCAAAACCCTAAAACTCAACCCCTTGAACACCAGCGTTGTTTCTTTGTTCGGGGTCCTAAGGTTGGTCTTAAACCCCAACCCCCAAGATTAGGAGCATATGACTATCATATGATAGTTATAACTCCTTTTTCTATCTTAGAGTTTCCGAACACCTCCGACAAGGAGTTTTGGTTTGGGGGGGTTACGCTGCAACTGTCAAGGCTCGAGCTATGGAGGCTATCCTCGTCTTTGACGAGGCTCTGAACGACCTAGGGTTTAGGGTTTAGGGTTTGCGCAGTGGCATACCGGGATTAAGGGTTCAGGTTTAACGGGATGACCCAGGAATATAGCTTGGAGATTGCGCCCACTCATTAACAGCTGGACAATCTTTATAACATAGCTATTTACAGCCCGTAATGTGAACCCTGTCATAGTCTGTTGATTTGTGTGGGCAGTTCCCAAAGTATACTTGACGTCCACGTTCTGCGTTAGCGGGTTTAGGCGGTCCGGCTCAACAAAGAGCTGAAGCAATTGAGCTGCTTCAACAGACAAGAGTTTGCAGAGTCAGTTCTACAGGCTTCGTGTGTCAATTTTTTTTTGGGCCTTTGCAATTTCTTCTGGATATAGGTGTCAAGGGTTTGCAGCGTTCGATTCGAAGCCAAAGGGGGCTTGCAGCTGACATCATTAGGGTTTAAGGGTTTGGAGGTTCAGGGTTTAGCGGTTTAGAGGTTCAGGGTTTGGGGGTTTAAGGCCTTTGGGTTTAAGGTTTCGGGTTCAAAGTTTACGACGCCGCTGGTCTGGCTCATGGAGGTTTTGTCCCCAAGACCGCAGAATCAACTGGAAAAGAGGATGGATAATGACATGGAGATTGGGGTTTTACATTGGGGTTTAGAGCGATTATGTAATGACCAAAATATGGTCCCAACTTCCTCACATTATTTGAGCCTCTTCATGAAATCAAGTGGTGGCTTCGTGGTTGGTTGCCAGATGTCCCTGTAGGCAAGTATGAACCCCTCCATGGGGTAGCACCCTGTGTGGGATGTCCTCAAACTCATGTAGCACAGGTTCCTGAAAAATCGTGTTCGAAGGAACATATGGATCCTCTCTACAAGATCCCCGGTGTGGGGAACATTAACATCGGTAAGCTCCTGTTGTGTACAGAAAAGTAGATACCATTATATCTTTATAATTCCCATTTCAAAGCAATTGAGAGAGTCCAATTTCCCGCAATCACAGGATTTTTCATAGGTATTTTTTAGAGGGATCTTGTTCGTTTTGTGTGTAACATTCGAACGCAATTATGGAAAAACATGATCATGTTGTATAAATCGTTCCCCAACCAATGTCTAGGTTCCATAACAACTTACGAGGCTGAGGGCCTTTTCGGCCGACGGAATGCTGATGCCTCCAGCAGTGTGGACTCTCGGCATGGGCCGTTGAGTTGGGGTTTAGGGTTGAGCGTGCCCATTTGGGACTTTTTGAGAGGATTGTATGGGTAAATGCGCTTTAGGGTTTTCAATTCATAGGGCTCGCAAAGTAGAAGCTTATCTTTGCGCGAACCCTAGTTTTGCTGCAGAAGGCCACAAAGCCCATCTCCATTGCCTGGCCCCTACATTACCGCTTGCAAGTGAGGAGTCTATTGTTTTGTTTGGAGAACTGGGCAGATGTGGGTAATCCGTGGGCACTTGAGGATTCCGCTATGCTGAAAGCGATACTTGGAGATGGAGATGATGTAAGTATTATATCTCGAGGATAGAAATAGTCAGCCTTCACGGATCCAGTTCGCCCTCTGCGTTAACGGTATCCGGGTACATAGGGGTTTCAGTTGTATTGATTTGCGGGGTTGGCAAGCAGTGCACGATGTATATACGAAAGCCTTTGCTGAACATATGATTTGTAGAAGTCAGCTTATGTGGGAAAGTTAGCCCAACACAGTCGTGATGGATATAACATGTCTTGTAAAAATCAAGCATGCAGAGCAGCCACAGGGCAGACCTCAGATAAAAGTTGCATGCAGTGCAAGAAGAGCCCCTTTCACGCCTACTACCCTATCATGCTACTGTATATTTAGGTCTGAACAAGGACCCTGGATGGCTATAGGTTACGCCACGGAGGTCCTTGCTGAACTCTCAAAACGAAAGAGCAAGTAAGGACAAGCATGCCAATTTGGACTCTGGCTTGCTGCTCCAGGGCAGCATTGAAGATGATAGGGGTTATATAGGTCGTATAGGGAGTTTACTCCAATAAAGGAAAACCAATTGGAAGAAAATAGAGCATGAAATGGAAACTGGGGTTCGAAGTCTGTGAGAAAGGCTTGCTCTGGGCCTTAAGCCTTCAACTGGTACCAATTTTGGGCTATTTGAATGCCCAGGGTAGGGTGTATGATTCAACCCTTCGGTCCGGAAACGAGTGGAGCATGGGGGGGACTAGGGATCATGCCAGGATTAAACCATGAGGGGTTTAGTGTTCAGGAAGGAGCCCAGGGCCCAGGAGAATTTATGTGGTTTCCATTTTGCTTTGTCGTGATATTTTGATAAAAAGGCACGTAGGTTGCGGTGTTTTGGAGAAAGTCCTGCAAGCAGGACCTACTGACTGCTACCTTACCCCATAGACCAGGTGGGGGGATGATTCATCCGTTGCCAGATGTTTCTTCACGCAAAGCCCTGCAAAGAGAAAACCATTTCTGAACTGTAACTTGTATTTGAAGTCTAACTGCAGCACTCCTAGGGATACATTTGGTAGTTTCCCTAGACAAGGGGACCCCAGTATACATCCCAAAATACAAAAAATCCTTCTTATATGGGAACCCCAAGAAGGTATATACCCGTAATTTTGGCAAGCTACCATGTACGGAGAGCCACATGCTTGAGAGTTAGAGTCCTGCTGTCAGCTTGATCAGCACGAGGTGCCTTGCAATTCTCATGAAGTGCCAATATATAGGCACCAAGAAGATGGGGTTTGGGGTTTAGGTTTATTATACAGACAGCTGCTGAACTCTTGAGGCTGTACTGGCTGGAGCACTACCCAGGCAGGAGCATTCATGGCGTTGGCTTCAGGATTTACTCACAGGAATAGCAATGGCCATGTTGTTAGGGGGTATATTCTTGAAGAAGGAGTTACATCAAGTGGACCCCCCCACCCTGTAATACTGGTATAATAGGAAGATATCCCTTGTAGTCACGATTACGAGGTGGGGGGTCCACCTAGAGTATACGGCTACCCGGAGCAAAACTGCAGATGCTGTTTGTGGCCTGTGGTGTTTCCATAGTGTGTTTTAGGGTTCAGGGTTTAGGGTTTAGGGTTGGGGTTTCCAGACTATCTACTTGACACCCCCATCCGTCCACCCAATCCGTCAGAAGGGGAGATATTCGAGCAAAATGGAGGGCAGCTCAGGGTTCTCAGACTTAGAGGGACCCCCTGGATTTGAAACTCGATATATCCTTGTAGAGGCCCCATATAACCCTTATCCCTCTTTGAAGGTACCTAATGCGGAGGTCTCTGCATCTTGACCACCAATGCCAAAGATGCAATCGATTCCGCCTTTTTCCGGCGGTTCCGGTTCATGGTCGAGTTTCAGAGCTGCAGCTAGTGTTGCTGTCGGTTGACTCAGGGCTAGAGGTCCTTCGGGAGATTCCATGAAGTTTGAAACCCCCAAATACCACAATCCTTATTGCGGGGACCTTTCCAAGAGTTACCCGTCATCTTGTATACCTGGAGTCTAAAGATTTTCCAGGCTTTCACCTTGCAATGTGTGGACTGTACATTCAGCAGCCATAGGCAAAAAACAGTTGCGGAAGGACGTCCGCCTTTGGATGAGCGTGCTGAATTCTGAGACCATCTTTCGCACTTTCTAGCCTTGACACTTATCAATGGCCACCTTCGGGTTTAGGGGTTTGGGGGTTTAGGGTTTGGGGGTTTAGAGAACTTAAATCCCTAGCTGAGGTTCCCACAACCTGATCGGGCGACCAGTGGCGCACTCAGCTGTTCACGATTCTAGATGTGCGGCTTCGTTGTTTCCAGATAAGAGTTTGAAGTTAAGACCCCAGATACTACGATCCTTGTTGTATGCGCTACAGTCAACACTGCCCCTATATTTCATGGACACCTGTCCCTTATTCGGGACTACTTTATGGATTATACTAAACTACAAGGGGACCGTAGTGTCCACCGCTAAGGGTCCCTTGATAAGGCGAATCTCCTAAACCCTAAGCCCTAGACCCTAAACCCTAATGTTGACAGTAGCTCATATGGACCCCTTGAGTTGGGAAACCCCATGCTTTCACTTTGGCATGCGCGCATTTCATTTGACTGGTGGTTCTCAGTCTGTGCGCCTGGGCACTGGGGATCTTATGATGATTTTGAGGGGAATACTTAGATACCATTTGACTTAGGTGGGTCCGCCTTGTAATAGTGGTGTAAACGGGAAGACGCTTTGAACTGCAAAACACGCACCCTGCACTCCTTGACCTTTCTCAGTCCAATGGTCGAAGTTACCAAGCCACCATGGTTGTGTTCGGTACATGGAGCCCCACCCATTGAGCGTCAACAAACCACTTCTTTGCTTACTGGCTCTTAGTAGGGAATATGTGTACTACAATCCCTATATAATCCCTATATATCCCTATATGATATATTCCTTTGTGGGGTTGGGAGCTGTTCTGCGTAGCTCAGGAGCGAAGCTGTGGGAATCCAGCTTGCCGAAGCAGGCCAGCTCCATGTGGGGAATTAGGGTTTAGGGTTTAAGGGTTTAGGGTTTAGGGGTTTAGGGTTTCGGGTTTGGGGTCCCCATAATCAGGATTATAGTCTATTGGGGTCTATATTGGGGTCGCATTATTTTGGGAAATTACCATACATTTTGTTCTGATTCTCGGCATGACCTTGGATTAAGTACATACCCGGTTCGAGCACCCTTCGAAAATCCTTAACCTTAAAGAAAGCGTTTTGTGTGGCCAGATAGGGTTGTACACAGAGTAGTTGAGGTACGATCTCCTCTGCAAGCATGTACAATGTATAAAGATTGCAAGATCGCTCTTTGCGCAAATTCCCACCCCTAAACCCTAAACCTTAAACCGTCTGGTGACCCGCCCACTCCCCTCTACACACCAGCAAGGAAAAACACTTTTATGTGGGGGTTTCCCAAAATTAGGGGTGCCTTTTTGGGGGTCCGTATAATAAGGACTATATTATTTTGGGGTCTATATTGGGGTACTAGGGTTCAGGGTTTAGTGTTTAGAGTTTTTGGATCAGTTTCCGAAGAGCACACGTCTTCAAACCAAGGAATGCCTTGGTTCAACCACAACCGGGGTTTCCAAAAAAGAAGGGTACTCTTTGAGGGGTCCTTAGTACGGATTTTCATGTCTTGGGGTACATAAGTGGGACCATGTTTCTGGAACCCACCAAATCATTGGAGAATCCCAATAACTTGCAAGCTGGCAGACACGCAGTAAAGGAAGTGTCGCGAATCAAGATGTTACAGCCAAGTTGTAAACTAGTTGTTTAGGTTTGCCGGAGGCTTCCCCCGGAGGATTCTATGGTAGTTTCCCAAACTAGGGGCCCCCAATGTAGACCCCCAAATAATCCCTTCACCATATTAATAAAACCCACCCTAATAATCAATAATGAATCCGGGACCCCAAAAATTCTTCATGAGCATTTTACAAGGGGCTGTACTAGTTTTAAAAGGAGCCAGACCATAATGAATTCCGGGGGGTTTTGAGGTCATTAGGGGGGTATAATAGAGAATCCAAAGGA